AAATCACTCACTTTTGATATTTGTTATAGCAGCACTAATTAAGATACCATCTCTCCCCATTATGAAATTAACATTTTAATCTCTTTTTACTTCTATTTATGTAAAACAGACTACTAAAAATAACATACCATACCACACTCTATTTACCCCTCTGCAACTTTATTTTAAATTGTTTTAAATTAGCTTTGTTAATACATTTAAATCTAGTTCAATCCCTCATTAAATATTTGAGTAATTCCTGTGCTGGGGATACATCAGACATTAAAATTTAAGTAATGTATTATATTAAATGGTCAGCATATGTCACAATCTATTAAAGCATTCACTTACTGACAGACATTTCCATGTTATCCACATTTTTACTATTTCAATCACTGCGGCAATGAATATCCTTTTTGGGCCCACAGAGAAAATGTCTAGTCTAGGGTATATATAGCTACAAATAGAAATTTTCAGGTCACGAGCTTAGCTTAACTTTACTGGGTATTGTCAAGTTACTCTCTAAAATGCTATCAATTTACCCTCTCATCAGCAGTGTCTAAGAGTTGTCATTTCCCTCATGCCAGTCTTATTAATTTGTGCCAGTCTAAATGGGTATAAAAAGGATCTCATTTTTGTTTACAATTTTCTGATTTGAGGTCTGAACATATTTTCATTTATAAACCAGTCTTCTTGTTGACTCAATTGTTCACTGAATACTATACTGAGCACCTATTATGCGGCTGGCATTGTGATAAGCAGGGAGACAAGAAAAATTAGCAAAACAGACAGACTCTGTCTCCCTAGAGTTTACAATTCTTGTTGTTGAGTGTTGTGGAGTCAATTCTGACTCAGAGCAACCAAGAAGCAGCTGGTGAGTTTGAATCACCAACTTTGTAGTTAGTAGTCCAGTGCTTTTCTACAGCGCCACAACAGGACTCCATCTCACAATTCTAGTGTGGGGTAAAGAAAACCAAATAATCAGCTACAAATTGTGGTTAGTACCATGAAAGAGATAAACAAGAATCTATGAAAATTTAAGAGGGAGACCAACCTAATAGGATTAAGAGTATCAGTGAAACTTTCCCTGAAGTGAAATTTCTGTTTTAACAGATGAGTAAGAATGAACTAATTCAGTATTTATGGAAGCCTGTTGCAGCTATGCTTAATAAGCACAGAAGTATTTTAGCTTCCAGTGCTTGAAGAGCTGTGCCAGATACTCTGGTAGATATCACACCTGCCCTCTGGCCCTCTTTCTCATACATTGGCATCATGAGAAGTAGGACGCTGGCTTTCTCCTTCTGTAATTTTAAGGCTTTTACTCCTGTACCATAGTATCAAGCTTTTTTTTTTTCGAGTCTCATCCCATCTTGGAAATTTTATATCATTCTGGGTATCTTAAGAAAACATTTAATAGGAAGAAAAAAAGGTGAGGTGCTTAAAAGGATAAAACCATCCATTGCCATTGTTATGAAAACCAATACTAAAAATAATTCAAATTAATGTTCCACATTAAGGGGCTTGTGAGAAAACCTCAAGACTGTAGCAATGTGGAAAATGCAGTAAAGTTGTTGTGATTTTTAAGTATGACACAAGATTTTATTTATAGCATGAACAAATGTAAATAGCTGATATATTAAGGTAGGAGGCATCTGAATGAATTTGGGGCATTTAATTGACTGAATTAGCCTGTCAGTTTGATACTATGATCACTCTGATGCTGGAATCTATGCTACATATATTCTGTATGCATATTTCAAATACCAGAAGGTCACCCTGAGTGAACAGGTGTCAGTGCATCTTCCATAATAAGACATAGTAGAAGGAAAGATCTAGCAATCTACTTATGAAAAGTAGCTAATAAAAACTCTAGGATCACACCATAATATTGTCTGATAAGAAGGCTATAAAATAAGCCAACATACCAATGATCATGAAAATGGCACAGACCAGGTAAACATTCTGTTCGGTTATACATAAATTACAGCTGACTCAACAGCAACAATAACAATGACAATTTACTGAAATCGTTTGTACAAACATTCCCAAGTCCTTCATCATTTTGTCTCTGCTTGGTCTCCAACCTAACCTCCACCATAGCCCTTCTTCTACTGACCTCTTCAAGTAACACTGCATTACATGCAGTTCTAGAGACATTGAAATCAGGTTAAGACCTAGCTGCTCTTGGAGTTCTGGGTTTAAAATTTGAATCTGCTGTTTGGGTACTGCTTTGTGTATTACTTTACCTCTGGTCTCCACCTCCACTCTTTTATAAAAAATGTACTATGTCTCTATAATGCAAGCAACAGAAACAAACTAGCTTAAGCAAGATGGATAAATGATTTGACTAATAGTGAAGAGTTTACTGAATCCAACAGAAAGCTTCAGAAATTGGCTAGATCCAAGGATCTCAGGGATTAGAAATACAAACACCACATCCTGTTTTACTACTACAGACCTTGAATGTCTTGTAAGGAATTGCCTTCAAGGCAGCTCTAGGTCTTCTGTTCAGTATACCAACCCCCAAATAAAAGAGAATTCCCAGCCAGTTCTATTTTGGAGAAATTCTGGAAAAAGAACTGACTGGTCCAACATGCCTGACCCTAACACTATCACTGAGCTCAGGGGACATCCTGACTTGTGGTCCTATGGTCAGTGAAGCAGGGATTGTTACAAGAAAGAGGAAGAGGAAGAAAAATGCTGGACAGGCAGACCAAGAGCTAATACACATCTGTAACATGGATGTTGTTAAGAATTAAATGAAATGACGTTATTTAAAGTACTTAATACAATGTAATTCAGATAGTAAGCATGTAATAATGGTAGCTGTTATAACTCACCTGGTGGTGAAGTTTAGCAGTTAATCCACTCTCCTTGAGGCGCCATTTCTTAATCTTAGCCAAATTCTGAAAATTGAAAAAGACAAACTGACTCCCATTCAACTAAGAAGGCTATTTATTGAGAGAATACAATGCTGTTACAAGGACACATTTCATGTGGTCCTAGAAAACTGGATGTTTTTTAAGTATGTGGTTCATGATTGCTGACGCTATGTTCAACCTGCCTCACATGCAGCCTGGGCTCCCTGTCAATGAAGATGTGCTGAGGTTCATATTGGGTGGATCTAGGCCAGCCTCCAAACATAAACAGTGGTCTCCTTTTGGTTTTCCAGAAGTAACTCTTTATAAATGTCCATAACTCAACTGGTTACAATTTATGTCATTCGTGCAATTAGTCCACTATAGAAATCCCCAAACAACCTGCAACAAAATTAACCCCTAACACATACCCTAGCCAAGAGTAGAGAATAATCTGAGTAGAATTACCCAAACTATGTATCAGACAACAGGAACATGAACTTGGCATTGAGTGTGCACTACGCACAGAGCATCATAAAGTTTTCTGAATTGTCAATGGCTTGGAAGGGCAGATCTGCCACGTTTCACAGGTAGCAGACTCACTGAGCTAGACCTTTCACATTTTAGTGCCCCATGCAGATCTCCTCTGCCAAGAATGATGAAGAATGCTTCTGAGCTTCCTCATGCTGTCAAGGATGAGAGAAGAGTCAAGATTCTACTATGTGGCATGCAAAGTCAGTAGGACAGCCTCGTAATAACACCCACCAATGTTACCCCTTCCCATGATTCATCATCAGCACTGGGAAATTTTCTTATCTTAGGGTAGAATGATTCTTGAGAGATCAATGTCCCTAGTTGCTTCCAAATCTGTCTGTACTGTTGATGCCAACAATCACCAAAGATTCTGAAAATTTCTTTAGGATCACCAGTGGGAGATGTTAAGGGAAATTATGGGAGATATCTGGAGACATTACATCCCAGAGTGGGCCATTAAAGCTTAAACGCATGCTTCCCTAGTGCTTAAGCACCACGAACCAAAAAAGGTTGATTTTTTTTTTTATGGTGAAGTATTTCCTTGGTATACAACATAAAAAAATACTTATATTTCTCTAAACTGAACAAGAAAAAATTTATGGCATTGGGTAACTGAATTTATACTTCTCCACAATAAAATTAATTTGGGAAAAAATTATCTTGTTTCCCTGCTATCTGATATAAAAAGCTTGGGGGAGTGCTTTTTCATGGGAATGAGTCATGAAGAGCACAAAAAAAATGGACTTAATAATTTTATGTAACTGAATTATGATAGTTTACAAAAGGAAAGGAGTCATTAGTAATTCAACTGTCTACAGTCTCCACTAACATTTTAGTTTATAAATTGAAAAAAAAAACTGCTTAAGATAAATTTGCAACTTTTGATGTCTCATACTTTTATTAATTCCCAAAGTGTCTCACCCCAGGGGTGTTCATTAACTGTCTGCGCATTTGGTTTATTTAAAATTCTATTTTAGAGCCCTCACAATTCCAGAATACCTTCTCAGTAGCAAGACCAGGGGCCCAAAGGTGCAGGAAGGCTGCATTCTCCACCCAGCTGTCATTATAAGTTGTATCACACTGTGCAAACCATTTCACATCTTTGGTTTTCAGTTTCTTCATCTGTACAAAGAAGTGGTTGGACTAATTGATCTAATTCTTTGAATGGTGAATTCCTGAGGTGGAAATGTTTTCCAAGGTCAATTCCGACAAAGAGTTGCAGTTGGGTACAGTTGCAGAGTTTTAAAGATAAGTTTTGGTCATTACTGTAGGAATTTATTTATAAAAGGTTGTAAACATGAGAGTTACAAGTCAAGCTGTCAAAAGTTTGGAATTTCCTGTATACATATATTTTAAAGTTTTATAATGTCCAATATCTAGACTTATAATTTCCAACTGGTTATATGTCTGTATTTTTACAAATGTTTGCAATTAGAACTAAGAATGCAGCTTTTTATCAAAATCAAACAAAAATTGTATACTGGCACAAAGTTTTCTTCACACACAACATAGAAACACACACATAATTCATTACATTCTCAAGTTTTCTCTCCAGTAAGAATGCTCTCATACTGAAAAGGAACAATATTTTAGGTAAAGGCTTCTGCACATTCCTTAATTTCAGAGTTTCTAGAGTTTATTTCTAGCATGAATTCTCTGGTGCTTAGTAAGAGCTGAACTTCGACTAAAGTTTTTCCCACATTCCTTACAAACATACGGCTTTTCTCCAGTATGAATTCTCTGATGATCATGCAGGTTGGTTTTCTTTCGGAAGGCTCGTCCACATTCATTACATTCATAGGGTTTCTCTCCAGTATGAGTTCTTTCATGCTGAATAAGGGATGAACTCTGACTGAAGGCTTTTCCACAATCGATACATTCATAGGGTTTCTCTCCAGTGTGGGTTCTCTCATGTTGTGTAAGTGATGAGCGCCGACTGAAGGCTTCCCCACATTCATTACATTCATAGGGTTTTTCTCCAGTATGAATTCTGTGATGCTCTATGAAACTTGTACTTCTTTTGAAAGCTTTCCCACAAACATTACATTGATAGGGTTTCTCTCCTGGATGAGAGCTAGGTTGCTGACTAAAAGCCTGATCACAATCATATGGGCTCTCTCCAGTATGGATTCTCTGATGGTCAGTAAAGTCTGTGATGTCACTGAAATCTTCCCCACAGTCGTTACAATGAGAGGATTTTACTGCAGTGAGAGTGCTGTCATCTTGAGTAAGAGAAGAGCTGTGCTTAAAATCTATGCTGTAGTTATTGTTTTGGTAAGGTTTGCCTCTCTTGTGAATCCTCATATGTTTATAAAGGGATGGGCTTTGACCAAAAGCCCTCCCACATATGCTACATTCAAAAGGTTTCTCTCCAGTATGAGTCCTCTCGTGCTGGACAAGGGAAGAACATCGACTAAAGGCTTTCCCACATTCCTTACACTGAAACGGTTTCTCTCCACTATGCGTGACCTCATGTTGAGTGAGGGATGTGCCATGTCTAAAGGATCTCCCACATAAATTACATCGATAGGGTTTCTCTCCAGTGTGAATTCTCTGGTGTTGAACAAGAGAAGAACTGCGCTGGAAGGCTTTCCCACAAAGACTACATTGGTAGGGTTTTTCTCCAGTATGAGCATTCTCATGTTGACCAAGAGATGAGCTATGTCTGAAGGCCTTTCCGCATACATTACATTCAAAGGGTTTCTCCCCAGTGTGAATTCTCTGATGCTCAGTAAGCTGTGTCTTCCAGAGGAAAGTTTTCCCACAATCAGTACATTCATGATGCTTCTTTCCAGGATAAATTCCCTGATCTGTACCATTGGGGAAAGCTGCTTCTCCTTTATGAGTTTTCTCATGTTTAGTAAGTGATGATCTATGAATGAAGGCTTTTCTGCATTTATTACATTTATAGGGTTTCTTTTTTGTAAGGATGTTATTCTGATTAAGTAAATCTGACTTATGTTCCAAGTTGCTTCCATTACATTCACTAGGTCCTGTTTTTGAAGGAATGTTCAATTTTGTAACCAGGTCTGTATTCAATCTAGAGTGTTGACCAAATTTACTGTGCTCAAAAGTTTCCTCTGGTGTGATTATTTTCTTCTGGGTATATGCATCTGGCCCCAGATGTCTCTTCCAGTTTTGTGGGTGCCTCTCTAATTGGCTATTAACATTCCAGCTGTCTTCCAGTGCGGCACACGAGAGCTCATCTGTTCTACGGGAGAATTCAGATATGCCCTGCCGTGGATTTGCTGATTTGGCATCAGGCCTTGTCTCCCAGTCTGAAAGAAATCCAAAATGCAAAGTCCCTATTCCCTCCTGTTGAAACAAACTGCTACAGTAAGAATGAGGAAATGAAAAAGATATAAATTATACATGACTTTGTTTTGAAATCAGTCCTGTAGCCTAGGGAGAACACCCAAAATAGAGAAGAAGGAGAGTGAAAAGAGATTACAGTATAGATTGTATGGCAAAGTCCAGAGAATGAGGAAAGTCCATCTAAGAGGGCTGGTTAGAGAACAAGGGAGTAAGTGAGTATGAGAGTGTTAGGCACAAGTATAAATGCAAGAGGAACCGAATCTGACTTGCAGGATCCTATCTGCTCTCCAAGCTTCCTGTCCATTTAAAAAACCACCACAAAATATATCTTCTTAATGCACCCATTTCCTAGCTTCTTTAAAGTCCCCTCTGAGGCTCCAGGTCTCTAAATCCTGCAAAGAAAATCTGCAGTTAGTAATCAAACCAAAAGGCTTGTTTGATATACTTAGAGACTGAGGGATATACTTTTGTTGTTGTTGTTAAGTGCCGTCGAGTCGGGTCCGACCCATAGCGACCCTGTACAGGGTTTCCGAGGGTGTAAATCTTTACGGGAGTAGAAAGCCTCATCTTTCTCCCGCGGAGCAGCTGGTAGTTTCGAACCGCTGACCTTAAGGTTCGCAGCCCGATTCGTAACCACTACGCTACCAGAGCTCCTTGAGGGATATACTTTACAAGGAAAGAAAACGTAGTATTTTAGAAGGCAGTTTGTTCTTGCCCTTACAACTGGAGCTGTGGTTGAATTCTATTTGAGTTCTGGTTCTATACTACTCACTAAAGAATTTTACTGAGTAGTATAGATTGCTGTTGCTGTTGTTAAGTGCCATTGAGTCAGTTCCGATCCATAGCGACCCTGTATAGGGTTTCCAAGGAGCAGCTGGTGAGCTGGAACTGCCGACCTTGCAGTTCAAATGGCTACAGTCTGGCACATTAACCCATAGTGCCACACCAGGACTCCAGGTAGTACACATACTACTCACTAAAAAAGAATTGATTTCAATCTGACTAATAAGAGTTGAGCTCTAAACTTGTTTATCTTAGAATAACAACTGCTGTTGTTGTTAAGTCATAGTGACCCTGGAGATAGGGTTTCTAAGAAGCAGCTGGTGGGTTTGAATCTTTGATGTTGTGGTTCAAACAGACCTTGTGTTCTAGTTTGTGGTCCTACAGTGCAACACCAGGACTCCAAGACTACCAATCACAGATAAGAGAATTAATTTCTAGGTTCTAAAAATGTAAGCCTTTAAAAAATAAGGGGAGGGTACACTCAGAAGTGATAGAAATATTCCATATTGATAAGGTTTGGGTTAGATGAATAAACAGATGTACCAAGCTAATTGAATGGAATATGTAAATGAGTTAGGCATTTCATTGTATATAATTTTTTCTTTAAAAGAGAAAAAAACAACAACCCAAACCCACTGTCATAGAGTTGATTCGGACTCATAGTCAGAGTAGAACTGTCTCATAGGATTTCCAAAAGGTTATAAATCTTTACAGAATCAGACTGCCACACCTTTCTCCTGAGACAAAGCTGGTGGGTTCAAACCACCAACCTTTTGGCTAGCAGCTCCATTGTGCCATCAGGACTCCTTAAAAGAAAAAGAACCATAAAAAAATTGAACTTTTAATTAATGATATGTATGCTAAAATATTTAGGGGAAAAAAAGGTACTCATATCTGTCACCTACTTGGAAATGAATTAAAAAAAAAAAGATGGATTGACAGATGGAGAGGTGGCGAGATTATAATAAAGGAAACATAACAAAACGTTTAAAGCAGGATTGAGGTGGCAGGTACGTGGGTGCTTACTACCTAGTTCTTGTAACTTTGGAATCTTTCATAAAATGTTGGGAGGAAAACAACAATTCTATGATAACAAACCTCAAAATTCCTTACTTAAACTAAACTTAATTCTAAACTTAATTCAATGAGGCATTTAAGAAATGCTTGATGAAATGAATGAATGAAAAAGTTATCTTTTCAGTCTGATCCTATATCAATCAGTCAAGTAATATTTTATTGCCTGCTAGATATTCTGCAACAAGAAATATTGATTTTTCCTCTAGGAGTTTGAAATCTAAGAATAGAAACAAGATTCAATATTTTGACAATCAAAAAAACAAAACACTAGATGGCATATTATTAAATCCGAGTATGTGTAGTAGAAATATTATAAATAGTAGCTGTGATCAGGGAAGTAGAGATTTATATATACAGACCTTGAACTCAAAGAAGAGATCACTTGGAATAGAAAGAAAGTATTACCCAATGGATCAATATGTATACCAGTTAATGGGAAATATTAAAAGAACTTCAGCATAAATAAAGCTTGTTTTAGCAGGAACAAAAAAGCAATACTAGAAGGTATGATAGAGGTGGGTGGTGATAAAGATAAAGTTTTATAATCCAAAATGGTCTAACAGTTGATCAATAAATAAGCAGAAAGTGATATATCCATATGATAGACAATGGTCCAGTTATTAAAAAGGAAAAAAGTACTGATACATTCTATATCATGGATGAACCTTGATAGCATTGTTAAGTGAAAGAAGCCACATACCATATGATTCCAGGTACACAAAATATCCAGAACAGGAAAACCCATAGAGATGAAAAGTAGATTAATGTTTTTTTATTAAAAGTTATTGGGGCTGGGAGGAACAAGGAAAAAGGACAGAGGAGTGACTACTAATGGATTTGGAGGTTCTTTTTGGAGTAATAACAATGATATCTTAATAAAGGTGTCATCAAAGAGAAAGAAAAAAAAAATCCAATGTGGGTTTTAAAATGAAAAGGTACAATGAGCAGTTCCAAATGGTAATTATAGCAATTAAAGCTTCGTTCAGGATGTTACTGATGAAAGTAAAAGACAGGAAATCTGAGATACTTCTCTTAAAAGAAAAAAATAACCTGGAGAACTCAGGAAAAGGGATTAAAAGACAAAGAAGACTAACTGATTATGGAGTTTGGCCTAAGGGATTAGAAAGTCGGTGGTCTCTAATGGTTATGGGTAGAAATGGGCAAGGGGCAAGGCAGCAAAACACGGTGTCTGGGATGAAAGATGATTAATTTTCACCTTTTACATATTCAATATGAACTGAGTGGGTCTTTCAAGTAGAGAGGTCCTGCAACAAACAAGTAAAACAAGAAAACAAAGTGCAAGTAAGGAAGACTTCTGAATGTACTGCTGTTGTTGTTAAGTGCCGTTGAGTTGATCTGACTCATAGCAACCCTGTGTAGGGTTTCCAAGGAGCAGCTGGTGGGTTTGAACCTGTGGTTTGCAATTCAGTGCTGATCCTAAAAGTGCCACAGAAGGAGTCCTCTGAGTGTATGGTGGTGGGGTGGTGATGATGTGCCAGAGTCAGTTCTGACTCAGCAACCCTGTATGGGGTTTCCAAGGCTGTAAATCTTTGTGGGAGCAGAAAGCCTCATCTTTCTCTTGCAGAACCGCTGGTAGTTTTGAACTGCTGACCATGAGATTAGCAGCCCAACTTATAACTACTGTGCTACCAGAGTGGCTCTGAGTATATGTTGTTTTTAAGTAGCATCGAGTCAGTTCCGATCCATAGTGACACTATATAGGGTTTCCGAACCTTGCAGTTCAAACGGCTTTGTAGTCTGGTGCATTCACCCATAGCACCACACCAGGACTCTGAGTGTATAGTACAGAAGAGCTGCAACCACCCAACTGAAGGTAGTCTTATAAAGACATAATAGAGAAAGAAAGGGGAGGAGTCTGGAGGGCAGATTCCTTAAAACAAATTCACTTAGGGGAAAACATGAGATAAGCCAAAGACCTAAAAGTCAAGAAGCACTGAGTAAGGAAGGAAGGAGACCAGTAGAGGCTGATATCACAGGAGCTGTAGAGTCAATTAATCAAATTAACATAAAGGTGGGAAGATAGTGTTGCTCACTGACAGATGTTTTAGCAGTTTATGGATAGAAGTCTGAAGACAGGTTATAAAAAGGAGGGAAAATCAAGGCTGTGGGTATTTCCCACAAGTCTGAGCCATCTGACAATGAAAGTGACCTCCACTTCCTGTCTCCTCCTCAAAAAAAGGAGAAGACATGGAAGTTCAATAATGTCGGAATGAGTGAGTAGGAAAAGCAATCTCTAAATAATGAAGGGAGACTGAGAAAGGTTAGAAGAGAAAATAATCCAGTAAGTAGGGTTACAGGACAGGCAGAGACGGTATTCACTTATAGGATAGAGGTTATTTTTATAAAGAAAAAAGGATTACCTTTTCCTTAAGTCCCATTAATAGCATGAATACCCTGTGGTAGGGACCAAATGGCTTCAGCTTCCTCTTCAGGTCTCGGGAGCTCCCAAGTCGGCAATTCAAAGGTGCATTCCCCTCCCTGTACTGTGTTGTCATCTACACTGACTTTTACAAGCCTGAATCTCACTCACTTACCTGAACAGAAAGGTCTTTGGTTTTCTCCCTTTGATGTCCATGGCTCTTCTCCTTGCTCCAATTTGAATATCACTTCTGGC